TGCAGCAGGCAGTGGACGACACGCTCACTGCGGAGATCATTTCCCCGTCCACTAGCCCTCGGGGGGCTCCTTTCATGTTGGCTAAAAATCCGGATGGCAGTCTGCATTTTTGCGCAGATTTTTGTCGCCTTAACAAGGTTACGCCAGCCGATGCATATCTGCGCATTGATGACTCCTGAGACGCCTTATCTGGAGCAAAACAAATTCCATGCTGGACTTGTTATCGGGATTTTGGTAACTGCCCTTGGATGAGTCCTCACAGGCTAATACGGCATTCCATACACCTCAAGGATTTTAGCGTTTTAACTGTTTCTCGATGGGACTTCAGACGGTGCCTGCTATGTTCCAGAAGTTGATGGACTTGGTCCTAGTGGGATTGCAGTGGGACTCTTGCCTTATTTATATGGATATTGTCCAGGGTGCGCATGGTACACCTGAAACTGAAACCGTCTAAATGTCACCTAATGCAATCGTCCGTGCGATATCTGGGCCACGTTGTGAGCGCGTCGGGTGTTGCTACGAACCCCAACAAGAGGGCATGTGCGCGAAATTGGCCGACCCTGAAATCGGTGGGTGATGTACGTAGCTTCGTTGGCTTCACGTCGTATTACCGATGGTTTGTCCTGCAATTTGACAAAATCACAAAGCCCTTGCACACGTTAATGGCGAAGAACCAAAAGTTTCAATGGGGGGCTAAGGAGGAAATTGCTTTTGTCAAGCTGTGCAATCTTCTCACATAAGCTCCGCTCCTGGCATACCCAGACTTCTTCCTGCCTTTCATCCTAGACACAGATGCCAGTGATCAGTGGATAGGGGTTGAAGTTTTCATTGCCTATGGTAGTCGCGTTCTTTCGCCAGCAGAGCAGCGTTATTGTGGAGCTCGCCGGGAATTGCTTGCAACCCTGCACTTGTGCAGCAATATAGGCCTTACCTGTATGACAGAAAACTCACAGCTCACACCGATCACGCCAACCCTGCAGTACTCCTTGCACATAGATTAGCCGTCGGACCAGTTGGCGCACTACCAAGTCATACATCGGAAGAGCCTAAAGAATGGGAATGCTGACAAGTTACCACGGTTACCTAGCGAGGACCCGTGTATGTGTGAATCGGGCCCTGGCCGATACAAGCCTACCGTTACGGAGGCGCCGGCGACGGTAGCATCGGTACAGCCTGCGGTGCCGCCAGCAGACGAACCATGCAGGGACGATGCGTTAAGTCTGACTTACATCGAGTGCGGACCGCCGCAAGTCGATGACGCCAGCCTGCTAGGCTTGCGCCGCTGGGTAAATGCAGACCAATCTGCGTGAACCTCCCCAGTAGGGTCTCAGTTTGTGCAGTACGAGGAGTTGCTGATGTGGTGGGATGGGATCGCTCGCTGGCAATGTGTGGTGGTGCCCTCATCCCTGCGAGGCAGATTGACGCGGGAGGTTTATGCAAACAAACTATTGCACCTAGGGTGCCGCAAGACGCTGTTGACTTTGAAACGTGATTATTACTGGCCGCGTATATCTGATGATGTGTATGATTTGGTTTGCTGGTTGCACAGAGTGTACACGTCACAGCCTCCCTTGCAGTCCATTATCGTCCAGGATAAACTAAATGGTCACCTTTAATATTATCAGGCCCTTCCCATGCTCACCAAGAGAAAATCCTTTTCTCCTCTTGGGAGTCGAGTATTTTGAGGTGGCAGATGGCCTGGCCGCTGCCTGACAAAATGGCCACATCAATTGCTGATGCGTTCCTTCACGGATATATGATGGACAAAGGCCTTCCCGAGCAACTCCTCACCGACCAGGGATCACATTTTTTTGTAGTACCATAAGAGGGGAGGGGCTGCTGGGAGCTCTGGGACCCTAGACAGATAAGCCCCCGGCGCCAGGCGCTAGGATCCCAGGCACCCCAGACAGTTAAGCCCCTTGGCGCCACCAACGGGGGGGGGCTGTGTGTGCTCTGTGGGATATCTGGGGGCGCACACAACCCCTCGTTGGGGACGAGGCATAAAAGGGCAGCTCCCTGGCGGATCGGGGCCAGTCGCAGCTCAAGACCCGCCAGCCAGCCAGCTTAGGACCCTGGACCCCCTCGTCCCGCTTGTCCTTGTAAGGGACGGGACGCTGTGAGGGCCAGTGGTGGGACTCTGGCACTCCCGGCTCTACGTCCTTGTGAGGGCGAGTTCCGAGGAAGCCAGAGTCCAGACCCGCACCTTGGCTGGGTCGGGTCAGGTAGCCTCCCCTAGGGTAATTGTAGCCGGAGGACCCCAGAGCGTAGCCAGAGTAGTGTATCTAGGCTGTGTACCTAGGCTGTGTACCTAGGCTTTAACAGAGTATCATGACTGTTGGAGTGTTGTAGAGGTAACTTCTTTATTACAATACAAGTGTCTCCGGAACCCGTTACATTTTCATCAAACTCCTACGGGAGGTGTGCGAGGAGCTGGGCACAAAGAAGGTTTGCACTTCCCCGTCGTACCCTCAAACAGATGGTATGGTGGAATGGCTGAATAGAACCACAACAGCTATGCTCTGCCAAGCCGTGGATACGATGCAAACCGATTGGGATCTCCATGTTCCGGGGGTCTTGGCAGCATATAGCCTGGCCCCACATGCCTCCACGGGATTTTCTCCCGTCTATATCAAGTACGGCCGTGAGCCTGAACCTCCCATAGAGACTCAGCTGAGTAAGCCCCCGACAGATGTGTCCGATCGGCCTGCGTCCTTGCAGTTGACGCTCGACCGATTGCTCGAAGCACGGACAGCGTCAATGGCGAACACCGCGAAAGCACAGGCCGCTAACTAGCGACATACATTGCGACGGGTTCATACAAGTCCCTGGGCAGTGGGTGACAAAACTTGGTTGCATTGCCCGCAGTTCCCATTATGAACCTCTCCTAAATTGCACCGGCCATGGCAGGGCCCGGTCGAAATCATCGAGGTGAATCGGCTGCATCGCGCCTCAAACCTTCATCATCACCCATCGAACTCACCTGACACACCGCAGCAGCCGCCTGCAGCGCCTACGTCACCTGTGCATGCTCCTATGCCGCCCCCAGGACGGAGCCTGACATAGGACGGCTTACCACTGGGCCCTGCAGCGCACGTCGGTCTGGCAAAGAGGAGCCGTGCAAGATGTACACGGGTTCGCTCGCGCTGTTCCTGGACAAAGCAAGTGATAGTTGCACCCCGTCGTTCCCGCAGTCTTGTTGTGTTGTTGTGTTGTTGTGTTGTTGGGTTGCTTAACTGTGGGGGTGTGTGTAGTTCGCGTGCCGCACGATCGCTTATTCTCAGATACACAGACAATCGGTCAAGGTTGTTAATGTAATTGTTTATTGCCCAAGTCGGACACAATGACATTGTTGCCAGGCCATACCACAAGCGGCTCACATGAGTCTCAAACACGTGATGTCATTGTGATGTCATCACTTTCATGTTGGTGGGTTTCTCCTCGGGCTTCCTGTGGTCTGTTGTGCTTCGGTATTCCCTTCCCTGGTGCGAGGCGGGACGGCTTTTTTTCTTTAAGGGGAAAGGGGGTAAAGACCAAAACAAAACAGACAACTTATCTGACTGCGTATAGTGTGTGTGCAAAAACGTGCAGTCAGGTAGTGAAACAAGGCCTCTGTTTGGTGCCCCAAATCTGGGAGAGACCACGTGGGGTGGATGCCATAGGAAGGGGAGGTACAGAGAGGCCTGGAAGGGCATTTGCGGTGAGGGACAGAATTGAAGGGATTGGAGGACAGATACAAACGCAAAGAGCGGGAAACACAGATTGACTGGCAGGAGCGCGGTTGAGAACCCTTAGAGAACGGGGACGAGGAGTGGCTGAGGAAAGTAGGTCAGAGAACCTTCGAGAAAGGGGGCCTGCGGGATATAATAAGTATAACCCGTAAAAACAAAGTTTTTCACTCTAAATCCTCTCGTCCTCTGGCTTGAGATGGCTGCCACCTATGGGTCAGATGATTCTCTGCAGTATTAAACAATTGGTAATTAAATATTTAATTTGTTTTCCCTAAACAGTGTAAAATTTTTTCACGAACACTAATTGTCTCGCACAACGAGTCTGTGTGCAAAATGTCAGCTCGATTGGATCACGGGAAGTGGGTTAAAAAACGACCGAAAGGTTTGCACGGTCGTAAGCAAGCAAGCAAGCACGCAAGCACGCAAGCAAGCGAACTTAATATAAAGGATGTAAAAAGGGGAAGCATGAGGGGAGGGAACGTTTGGAGAGGAGACTGAGTTCGTGCTTGAAGGCAGTGTTCCTGTCGACAATAAAGGCAGGGCCTGATTATCCTCGTAGCAAAAGTATCATATTCTACGGGTCCCGCACTTTCAAGGGCCCCACGCTAAATGCTTTCAAGCTATCAATTCCGGTTCAGTGATTCTGCACTTGCTCTATTACTATAGTACTATACCGCCTTCAACTTTTATGAACGACTGGCTGTTTAAGGTTAGCGCTTTGCCGTATTATCCGGCTGTATAGCAAATGAAAAATACAATTACTTTACGATGCAAGTTAAACATTTGTGTTTGTGTTTTTACTTTGTGCCCCTTTAGAACATACGCTACAGGCCCCGCACTAGCTTAATCCGGCACTAAATGAAAGGCTCTTACTACTTGAAGAACGTGTGTTGGCCATCATTACACTTGGACTGAACCAATGCTCCTGCAACAAAGCACTTCCAGAAAAGGAAGATCGTGTGGCTGACGGGGTGCAGTAAAGGACACTTGCTCACGTGAAGAGACGGGTGCATGAAGGGAACTCTATTGTCTGCTTTGTTTCCTTGCCAGCAGTCGGTGCGGGGTGTCTCCTCCTCTGCAGGGTCCTCTCCGCTGCGCCTTGGCGCTGCTTCTTTCAGACCGGGGAGACAAAGGCGGCCGGCCGTGGTGTTCACATCGCCCTCGTGCGCCGCGCCGGCCTTCGGATTCGCTCGCCAACAGCACTTGCCCCAACGGTCTGGTTGAGGCTACACGGGCGGTCTGTGCCTTTGCCTCTGCGTGTGCAACTCTCCGCGTGCAGCAGGAGAGCTCTCCACTCCCCAGCAGAGAGCCCCCCCACTCCCCCCCCCCACTTCCCCCCCCCACTCCGCCCCCCACTCTGCCCCCCCCCCACTCCCCCCGCACGCCTCCCGTGCCCCTCAGGAGGCTGCACAATGAGCCGCAGGGGGGGTGATTGCACCCGTAGCCTCTGGTCGCTGTCATCGCCTCAATAGGCGCGGGGGAGTTGCCATGGGGAGTAATGAGCCGCTGGTCGCACTCGACTCGCCCACAAACACCTGTAGGCACTCCACAGAGCCCCCCCCCACCCCGCAGAGCCCCCCCCCACCCCCCCACCCCCCGTCTCCCCATCCATCTCTGTCCACTTCTCCCTCCTCCAGGTCCTCCTCCTCTCTCTCAACTCCCCCTCTCTGCGTCGATGTCCCCGTCTCTCCCTCCACCTCCCCCACACGCCTCTCTCTCCATCTCTATCCACTCCTCCCTGCCTCTCCTGCCCCTTCCTCCGTCTCTCCCTCTCTCTCCTTCTCTCCGTGCCTGTACAGATACACATGTCTCAATCTCCCTCCATCTCCTCACCCATCTCCTCCACATCTCTCCCCATCTCTCCCCATCTCTCCACCTTCTCCCTCCTCCGCTGCCTCTCTCTCCATGCCCCTCCATCGCTCTCCACTCTGCCTTGCGCCGATATCTCTCCATCTCACTTCCTCTCCCTCCATCTCCCTCCACTCCTTCCTGCCTCTCCTCGCTCTCTCTCCAGTCTACCAGCTCCCCCTCTCTCCCCGTCTCTCTGGTTTTTGTTCACGATCACAGGAAACAAGAAGATGCTCGGTGTAGTCGGCACTTTGCTTCGTTCGTGATTTCGTTTGTTTTAATGCTTTGCTTTATGTAACCCCCCCCCCCCACCCTTTTTTTAAGTGAAAGATTTCACAAAAGATTTCACGCTCTGCTCTCCTTACCCCTTTCCCCTCTCTCTACCCCCTCTCTATCTACCCCCTCTCTCTCTACCCCCTCTCTCTACCCCCCATCTCTCTACCCCCCCCCTCTCTACCCCCTCTCTCTCTACCCCCTCTCTCTCTACCCCCTCTCTATCTACCCCCTCTCTCTCTACCCCCTCTCTCTACCCCCCATCTCTCTACCCCCCCCCATCTCTCTACCCCCTCTCTCTCTACCCCCTCTCTCTCTACCCCCTCTCTATCTACCCCCTCTCTCTCTACCCCCTCTCTCTCTACCCCCTCTCTCTCTCCCCCCTCTCTCTACCCCCCATCTCTCTCTACCCCCCTCTCTCTACCCCCTCTCTCTCTCTACCCCTCTCTCTACCCCCTCTCTCTACCCCCCCCCCTCTTTCTCTCTACCCCCTCTCCCCCTACTCCATGTCTATGTCCCCCCTAATGTTTTATCGCTCCATCGTTCTTTGCTTCTCTCTGTCCCTGCGTATCCTCGTCGCTCTCTCTCTCCTCCTTTGCCGCTGCTCTCGACCTGTCCCTCTATCTCTCATTATCTCTCACCCTCCCATGCCCACTTTCGCTGTGTTCTCTCCCTGTCACTCCTTGCCTCTCCTACTCCGTCTCTCCCTCTCTCTCCAACTTGCCTCCATACCAGCTACTTCCTCCACCTCCTCAGCCGGGGGCTAAGTTGGCGTATGAACCCATAATACGTCTCCTTACTATAGGGAGGATGAACCCATACTACTTCTCCTCACTATAGGGAGGATGAACCCATACTATGTCTCCTCACTATAGGAAGGATGAACTCAGACTACTTCTCCTCACTATAGGAAGGATGAACCCATACTACGTCTCCTCACTATAGGAAGGATGAACCCATACTACTTCTCCTCACTATAGGGAGGATGAACCCAGACTACTTCTCCTCACTATAGGGAGGATGAACCCATACTACTTCTCCTCACTATAGGAAGGATGAACCCATACTACTTCTCACTATAGGAAGGATGAACCCATACTACTTCTCCTCACTATAGGGAGGATGAACCCATACTACTTCTCCTCACTATAGGGAGGATGAACCCATACTACTACTCCTCACTATAGGAAGGATGAACCCATACTACTTCTCCTCACTATAGGAGGATGAACCCATACTACTACTCCTCACTATAGGAAGGATGAACCCATACTACTTCTCCTCACTATAGGAAGGTCCCATGATGTAGCTGCTCACCCCGAGCTCTCAATGTCCTGATGGTGGCATTGTCTTTGTGCTGGTCGCCTTTTGGCGTCCTCTGTTGTCTAACACTGGTTGAGACTAGGCGCCCTAAAGAAAGCTGTCCCTGGTGTAGACCAATCAGTTTCAAAGACAATGCATCGTCATATACTACCAGAGCGTGTTGCTGTGTCCATGTTCACCACAAGTGCGTGTGGTTAATGCAGTGACATGCTTCCTTGCAAAATGTTTCTGTTTGGTGTTTGAATATCTTAACACAACTGGTTTTTTTATTGCCAGAAAGGCTAAAACCTACTTTGATACTGGCAGGAAAGGTTTCATGCGACTCCCTCGTCACGTGACACCTGCCCAGCTTGTGGGCCTAGTGCATGGGGCGGTGAGTCAAGCACAATGATGACGTCACCCTGATGCTGCTCTATTTAAGACCGGAAGCAACAGGAGAGCTTCACCATTCTTGCCCGATGAAGCTGATTGTAATTATCAGCGAAACGTCGTACTACTCAATTTAAAAATGCTGTTGATTTTCTCTACAGCACACCGGTGGGCTAAAGAAGTGAATTATTTTGTCCTTTGAAAAAACGTGACACATTTTTTACTGTTTGGCCGTGTCGGGTGGTGGAGGGTTACGACACATTTATAAATAACGCGATCTGACCCAAAAACCTTGATTATGAATAATATTGGTCACGAAAGCCTACGTGTTAAATTAGTCAAGCAACTATTTGGTGAATTACAAAACTTTGGTGACTTAACAAATAATTAAATATGAAATAAATAAATAAAGAACGTGAAAAGGTGATCGAAGGAGAGTAACCCCTGAAAGAAGACTGGCGGGATGCGTGAGCCACCACTCGGCACCGCACCGAGAGCCTGCAGCGAAGGGAGGGCCCGCTTACTGATAATTACATCGGTGGATCAAACCTTCAAAGCAATGACCCGCATGCATCCATGTGCTTGTGCACCAGCACAACGCAGGTGATGGCTACAGATACAGACTTTACCCGCCATAATGGAGGCCCTCTCTGGTCTAGGCAAATCCGTTTCAAGGACCAATGCATGCAACATGACCGAAGCATGTTTGTTTGCACACGCACACACGTGTGATTAAGCAGACGCATTGTCATAGGTGTCTCTTCGTCTTCTTGCCAGAATGGGTGACGCCTGTTACTTTGTTTGTGTGTTCGATGAACTTGTTCGATGAACTTGTTCGATGAACCGTCCGTAGCCAACCATGCTCATCGGATGTGCGGCAATATCGCCAACCTCCCCAACTTCCTTTTTTTTGCAGTTTTTTCCTGGATTTTTCTGTTTGCGCATAGTCACTTTAAGATGTTTTCTTGTTCATGTTTTTGTTTGTTGCGGTTGCACCTCGATTCAAGAGCCGAATGGCTCACAGGGCTCTACCAAATAAATGAAACTGAAACTTCTGCGGAAACTCGGTCGAACCTTCCTGAATAAGAGTCTCGGTGACGCTTTCCTGGGTAAGCCGGTGCAATAGCAATACTCATGATGATAACGACTTGCAAAATACCTGCTGCAGAAAGCTCTGTGTCACCTGGGGGCTCTGTGAAACAGAAAAATCTCATCTTAGATTTGAAGCTTTCGTGACTGCAAGGATTCATACTCTTAGGTTTTTTTCGGTAAAGTCACGTAGGAAAAAAAGATGTTTTTTTTAATTACTAAAATTAATAATAGAAATAAAAAAAAATAATAAATCACGACGTTTCGGAGGCAACACAAGTCTCCGTCATCAGGTGGGACCGTCACAGCTAGATTTACTGTATCAAGTGAGGCAGAGATTCCAAGATACAAGTTCTTAAGTTTTTTTTTACCTACGTGACTTTACGGAAAAAACCTAAGAGTATAATTTCATCGTGTCAAGGTTTGTCATCATCATCATCTTCTTCTTCACGATGACAAACAAAAAATGTTCCCCTAGACACAACATAAACGATGCTCACCGGGGGGGGGGGGGGGGCATCCCCAGACCCTCCTCCAGCAGGTGAGGCAAGACGCGCGAGCCACTCGCCCAGTGAACGGGAGGGGAACTTGCGCGTGCCGCTCTTGAGCTCACGACGCCCGGAGCTCACAGAGGGCAGCGCAACCCAGAGCCGGGACCCTACAGAATACAACGACAAAGAGCACAAAATGCGACCGAGGTATGAACAGACATGCTGCGAGTTAAAAGGCAAGGACGAGAGGGTGGTCGCAGCTAAGCGCTCGCCTGCCTGCGGTGGATGATTCAACGAATGGCGGGGATGAACCGTCCCGACATCACGACAAATAAGGTGACAGGTCGCACAGAAACCTACCCAGCAACGAGCTCTACTCTCCCAGAGCATCGCTTGTGTACTCACAGAGATCGCCATGGAGGATGGGAGAATGTGAACACATGGGGAGTGTGCCAAGAGCTCTGTCTGTTCACCTTCAATCATCGGTCTATCCCTGTCCCTCTCTCGGTGTCTCCTTCGTCTCTCTCCACGTCTCTCCCCTCCCTCTCCATGTCACTCCCTTGACTCTCCCTTGTCTCTTCCTGTCTCTCCCTCCCTATTTCTGCCTCTCTCTGCATCTCGCCAATTACGATGTTATTACACTCACCACACAACTCACCACACAACTACCAAACACAACGAACCATCATCACACTCACCACACAACTCACCATCACCACACTCACCACACAACTCACCATCATCACATTCACCACACAACTCACCACCATCACACTCACCACACAACTCACCATCATCACACTCACCACACAACTCACCATCATTACACTCACCACACAACTCACCATCACACTCACCACACAACTCACCACCATCACACTCACCACACAACTCACCATCATCACACTCACCACACAACTCACCATCACACTCACCACACAACTCACCATCTTTACACTCACCACACAACTCACCATCACACTCACCACACACTCACCATCATCACACTCACCACACAACTCACCATCATCACACTCACCACACAACTCACCATCATCACACTCACCACACAACTCACCATCATCACACTCACCACACAACTCACCATCATCAAACTCACCACACAACTCACCACACAACTCACCATCATCTCACTACACAACTCACCATCATCACACTCACCACACAACTCACCACACAACTCACCACACAACTCACCATCATCACACTCACCACACAACGCACCATCATCACACTCACCACACACTCACCACACACTCACCATCATCTCACTACACAACTCACCATCATCACACTCACCACACAACTCATCACCATCACACTCACCACACAACTCACCATCATCACACTCACCACACAACTCACCATCATCACACTCACCACACAACTCACCATCATCACACTCACCACACAACTCACCATCATCACACTCACCACACAACTCACCATCATCACACTCACCACACAACTCACCATCATCACACTCACCAACAACCCACCACCATCACACTCACCACACAACTCACCATCATCACACTCACCACACAACTCACCACCATCACATTCACCACACAACTCACCATCACACTCACCACACAACTCGCCACCATCACACTCACCACACAACTCACCATCACACTCACCACACAACTCACCATCACACTCACCACACAACTCACCATCATCACACTCACCACACAACTCACCACCATCACACTCACCACACAACTCACCATCACACTCACCACACAACTCACCATCATCACACTCACCACACAACTCACCATCATCACACTCACCACACAACTCACCATCATCACACTCACCACACAACTCACCATACTCACACTCACCACACAACTCACCATCATCATACTCACCACACAACTCACCATCACACTCACCACACAACTCACCATCACACTCACCACACAACTCACCACCATCACACTCACCACACAACTCACCATCATCACACTCACCACACAACTCACCATCATTACACTCACCACACAACTCACCATCACACTCACCACACAACTCACCACCATCACACTCACCACACAACTCACCATCATCACACTCACCACACAACTCACCATCACACTCACCACACAACTCACCATCTTTACACTCACCACACAACTCACCATCACACTCACCACACAACTCACCATCTTTACACTCACCACACAACTCACCATCACACTCACCACACACTCACCATCATCACACTCACCACACAACTCACCATCATCACACTCACCACACAACTCACCATCATCACACTCACCACACAACTCACCATCATCACACTCACCACACAACTCACCATCATCAAACTCACCACACAACTCACCACACAACTCACCATCATCTCACCACACAACTCACCACACTCACCACACAACTCACCACACACTCACCACACAACTCACCATCATCACACTCACCACACAACGCACCATCATCACACTCACCACACACTCACCACACACTCACCATCATCTCACTACACAACTCACCATCATCACACTCACCACACAACTCATCACCATCACACTCACCACACAACTCACCATCATCACACTCACCACACAACTCACCATCATCACACTCACCACACAACTCACCATCATCACACTCACCACACAACTCACCATCATCACACTCACCACACAACTCACCATCATCACACTCACCACACAACTCACCATCATCACACTCACCACACAACTCACCATCATCACACTCACCACACAACTCACCATCATCAAACTCACCACACAACTCACCACACAACTCACCATCATCTCACTACACAACTCACCATCATCACACTCACCACACAACTCACCACACAACTCACCACACAACTCACCATCATCACACTCACCACACAACGCACCATCATCACACTCACCACACACTCACCACACACTCACCATCATCTCACTACACAACTCACCATCATCACACTCACCACACAACTCATCACCATCACACTCACCACACAACTCACCATCATCACACTCACCACACAACTCACCATCATCACACTCACCACACAACTCACCATCATCACACTCACCACACAACTCACCATCATCACACTCACCACACAACTCACCATCATCACACTCACCACACAACTCACCATCATCACACTCACCACACAACTCACCATCATCACACTCACCACACAACTCACCACCATCACACTCACCACACAACTCACCATCATCACACTCACCACACAACTCACCACCATCACATTCACCACACAACTCACCATCACACTCACCACACAACTCGCCACCATCACACTCACCACACAACTCACCATCACACTCACCACACAACTCACCATCACACTCACCACACAACTCACCATCATCACACTCACCACACAACTCACCACCATCACACTCACCACACAACTCACCATCACACTCACCACACAACTCAACATCATCACACTCACCACACAACTCACCATCATCACACTGACCACACAACTCACCATCATCACACTCACCACACAACTCACCATACTCACACTCACCACACAACTCACCATCATCATACTCACCACACAACTCACCATCACACTCACCACACAACTCACCATCACACTCACCACACAACTCACCACCATCACACTCACCACACACTCACCATCATCACACTCACCACACAACTCACCATCATTACACTCACCACACAACTCACCATCACACTCACCACACAACTCACCACCATCACACTCACCACACAACTCACCATCATCACACTCACCACACAACTCACCATCACACTCACCACACAACTCACCATCTTTACACTCACCACACAACTCACCATCACACTCACCACACAACTCACCATCTTTACACTCACCACACAACTCACCATCACACTCACCACACACTCACCATCATCACACTCACCACACAACTCACCATCATCACACTCACCACACAACTCACCATCATCACACTCACCACACAACTCACCATCATCACACTCACCACACAACTCACCATCATCAAACTCACCACACAACTCACCACACAACTCACCATCATCTCACTACACAACTCACCATCATCACACTCACCACACAACTCACCACACAACTCACCACACAACTCACCATCATCACACTCACCACACAACGCACCATCATCACACTCACCACACACTCACCACACACTCACCATCATCTCACTACACAACTCACCATCATCACACTCACCACACAACTCATCACCATCACACTCACCACACAACTCACCATCATCACACTCACCACACAACTCACCATCATCACACTCACCACACAACTCACCATCATCACACTCACCACACAACTCACCATCATCACACTCACCACACAACTCACCATCATCACACTCACCACACAACTCACCACCATCACACTCACCACCAACTCACCACCTCACTCACCACAACTCACCATCATCACACTCACCACACAACTCACCACCATCACATTCACCACACAACTCACCATCACACTCACCACACAACTCACCACCATCACACTCACCACACAACTCACCATCACACTCACCACACAACTCACCATCACACTCACCACACAACTCACCATCATCACACTCACCACACAACTCACCATCATCACACTCACCACACAACTCACCACCATCACACTCACCACACAACTCACCATCACACTCACCACACAACTCAACATCATCACACTCACCACACAACTCACCATCATCACACTCACCACACAACTCACCATCATCACACTCACCACACAACTCACCATACTCACACTCACCACACAACTCACCATCATACTCACCACACAACTCACCATCACACTCACCACACAACTCACCATCACACTCACCACACAACTCACCATCATCACACTCACCACACAACTCACCATCATCACACTCACCACACAACTCACCATCATCACACTCACCACACAACTCACCATCATCACACTCACCACACAACTCACCATCATCACACTCGCCACACAACTCACCACCATCACACTCACCACACAACTCACCATCATCACACTCACCACACAACTCACCATCATCACACTCACCACACAACTCACCATCATCACACT